ATCCTTATTTTCAGGCTCACAGGTCAGCGGCAACCAGAGCCCGTGCCTCGCTCAGGGTGCTGGGTTCAAATCCCGAGCAAAACGTCCGCTGCAGAAAATACTTCCTGCTCGAAAGGCCAGATAGCTGCTGCCGGTTGGTGTAGGCGACATGGAGAGAAATGAAGGCAGGGTCTGACTCTGAAGGCGCCTTGACCTCTCCACCCCGACCTTGCTTTCAAGATGAAAAGGCGGCTGGAATAAGAGCACCAGGGCTTGCCGGCTGCAGCTCATCCGTCAGGGTGACCTTGAGGGTGACGCAGGTGGGTGGGTGCTGAGACAAGGGTGGCAGGGTGCCCCCACCCAGTGGAAATCTGCACCTGGGCCTTGGAGAGGCAGCAGGTGGAGGGCGGAGGGAGACAAAAATAGAAATCTTCCAATGTGGAAAGATTAGATAGACGATAGTCTCTGCAGGTGTTCTTTCTGGGAAAGGTGGTGTCCCTGCTGTTTACCTGCTAGAAGTTGGGGAGGGGCAGAAACGAAGGGGAAAGAAATGTCTCCACATTGTGGCCAGGTTAGGACCCCCATTGGGACGCGGGTGGCGCTGTGGGTTAAAGCCTCAGCGCCTAGGACTTGCCGATCGAAAGGTCGGCGGTTCGAATCCCTGCAGCGGGGTGCGCTCCCGCTGCTCGGTCCCAGCGCCTGCCAACCTAGCAGTTCGAAAGCACCCCTGAGTGCAAGTAGATAAATAGGACCGCTTACCAGCGGGAAGGTAAACGGCGTTTCCGTGTGCTGCGCTGGCTCGCCAGATGCAGCTTGTCACGCTGGCCACGTGACCCGGAAGTGTCTGTGGACAGCGCTGGCTCCCGGCCTCTAGAGTGAGATGAGCGCACAACTCCAGAGTCTGTCAAGACTGGCCTGTACCGGCAGGGGTACCTTTACCTTTTAGGACCCCCATTTGGGTCAGGGTTATAACAACAACAACAACAACAACAACAACAACAACAACAACAACAACAACAACAACAATAATAATAATAATAATAATAATTTATTATTTATACCCTGCCCATCTGGCTGAGTTTCCCCAGCCACTCTGGGCGGCTCCCAATCAAGTATTAAAAACTTCCCTGAACAGGGCTGCCTTCAAATGTCTTTCGAAAATAGGATAGCTGCTTATTTCCTTCACATCTGAAGGAAGGGTGTTCCACAGGGTGGGCGCCACCACCGAGAAGGCCCTCTGTCTGGTTAGGGGCCCCCTCCACCAGGGTCATCTAGTCCAAGCGCACCCATTAAGGTAAAGGGACCCCTGACCATTAGGTCCAGTCATGGCCGACTCCGGGGTTGTGGGGCTCATCTCGCTTTATTGGCCAAGGGAGCCGGCATACAGCTTCCGGGTCACGTGGCCAGCATGACTAAGCCGCTTCTGGCGAACCAGAGCAGCGCACGGAAACGCCGTTTACCTTCCCGCCGGAGCGGTACCTATTTATCTACTTGCACTATGACGTGCTTTTGAACTGCTAGGTTGGCAGGAGCAGGGACCGAGCAACGGGAGCTCACCCCATTGCAGGGATTCGAACCGCTGACCTTCTGATCGGCAAGTCCTAGGCTCTGTGGTTTAACCCACAGCACCACCCACATCCCATTAGCCTCACGGTTTTACAACATCCTGCACTTCCAAAGTTTGGGGAGAAAACATTTGGATTGTGTAAACGTGACTGTGTGGGAAATGTTGAACTTTTCGGAGGAAAATATCTCCCGCCTCTCCTGGTCTGCAACACGGAGGACCTTAAGGTCCACAAATGACAACACTTTGGAGGTCCCAAGTTGCAAGGTGGTTAGATTGGTCTCATCTAGGGCCAGGACCTTTTCAGTACTGGCCCCGACTTGGTGGAACGCTCTGTCACAAGAGACTAGGACCCTGCGGAACTTGACATCTTTCCACAGGGCCTGCAAGACAGAGCTGTTCCGCCTGGCCTTTGGTTTGGACTCAGTCTGACCCTTATGTTTCCCTCCCCTTATGGTTTTGATATACGGGCTACTTTTAAAATGAGGCTGCATTTTAAATTGCATTTTAACCTGTATTTTAAATTGGTGAGTTTTTTCCTAGTATGATTTTACTGTAATTTTACTGGTGTTAGCCACCCTGAGCCCAGCTCTGGCCGGGGAGGGCAGGGTATAAATAAAATTTATTATATTATTATTATTATTATTATTTATTATATTATTAATTGGGACGCAGGTGGCACTGTGGGTAAAAGCCTCAGCGCCTAGGGCTTGCCGATTGAAAGGTCGGCGGTTCGAATCCCTGCGGCGGGGTGCGCTCCCGTTGTTCAGTCCCAGCGCCTGCCAACCTAGCAGTTCGAAAGCACTCCCGGGTGCAAGTAGATAAATAGGGACCGCTTACTAGCGGGAAGGTAAACGGCGTTTCCGTGTGCGGCTCTGGCTCGCCAGAGCAGCGATGTCACGCTGGCCATGTGACCCGGAAGTGTCTGTGGACAGCGCTGGCCCCCGGCCTCTTAAGTGAGATGAGCGCACAACCCTAGAGTCTGTCAAGACTGGCCCGTACGGGCAGGGGTACCTTTACCTTTATATTATTATTATTTTGAATTACATACGCACTAGATGAAATTTGATGACGTAAATGCATTTTCCATGCCTTTACTATGGCCCAAAAGACTTGGTATTGATGCATTGGGAAAACGAACCTATGCCCCACTTTAGTCAATGAAGATTTGGCAAGACTCACAACTTATGAATGGATTGCGCACAGATGTGGACTTTGAATGGAGAAGCATAATGGTATTTGGAACCCATTTATGACGGAATGTAGTGGGTTATAAATAACCATATATGTATTTGGATAATAATAACAACACTTATATACCTAGGCCCCGTGAGGGTCTTTCTTGTGTGCCTCTGCCATGAGGAGTCCAGGAGGTGGCAACACGAGAACGGGGCCTTTTCTGCGGTGGCTCCCTGCTTGTGGAATGCTCTCCCCAGAGCGGCTCGCCTGATACCTTTCTCTATAACCACCAGGCCTTTGGCTCCTTAACTATCTGTGACCTAAATCTTTAGGTCCAGTGTATCATTGCTGAATTAACTAATTCATCTTTCGTTTCCCATTCCGATAACATTATATATATTTTGGGGATCAGTTTTATTATTATATATATATATATATATATATATATATATATATATATATATACACACACACACACACCCCACTCATCTGGCTGGGTTTCCCCAGCCACTCTGGGTGGCTCCCAATAGAATATTGAAAACACAAGAAAACATTAAACATTAAAAACCTCCCTAAACCGCCCTTCTAAGTCTGGGGTTGGGCCAGGCAAAAGCTACAGTCAGGCTAAGAATCATAGACACCAAGAGACAACAGGACTGCTCAAGGTGCCCCGACTATAAAATTGGAGAAATCAAGAGATATATAGCTGCACCAGCAGCATATCTCTTCTTTCTCGTATCCAAAAATGCTAGAAGGTCCTTTACACTCGCCAGGAGCTTGGCTCTGCCCTCGCCGGTCCTGGGTGGAGCCTTTTAAAAAGTCCCATGTGCTCAGAGACTTTGCGCCTGTTCACTGGGGGATATAGGAAGCCCAGAGCACTTGTTCTTGAGATGTCCCTTTTATGAAGAGGCACGTAGTGAGACCATTGGTCCCCGGCTGGTGAGGCTTGCTGACCTCCCGACAAAGCAAAAAGTTGACGTTTTCCTGTTAGGCAAAGATCAGAAGACGACCTAGATGGTTGCCAGATTCTGTGTACAGATCTGTAGGCGCAGACCATCCCCTGACTCAAACTAGTTTGTTATGAAAATCCCCAAACTCGATTCCATGGGTGACTCTGGATTAACTCCCCGCGGTAGTTTATTGTTGGACATGGTTTTTAAATTTATTGTTGTACATTGTTTTAATTGTTTGTTTTTCTTCTGTGACTGTACCCCCAAGTGTGTTTTATAAGCTGGTCTCCGACAGTAATAAATTATCTATCTATCTATCATCTATCTATCTATCTATCTATCTATCTATCTATCTATCTATCTATCATCTATCTATCATCTATCTATCTATCTATCTATCTATCTATCTATCTATCTATCTATCTATCATTTACCTGATGATGCTGAAACAAAACAGAACTCCATTCTTAGATCTCTTCTTGTTTACAGTGGTACCTCAGGTTACATATGCTTCAGGTTACATACGCTTCAGGTTACAGACTCCTCTAACCCAGAAATAGTGCTTCAGGTTAAGAACTTTGCTTCAGGTTGAGAACAGAAATTGTGCTCCGAGCTTGGCAGCAGCAGCAGCAGCAGGAGGAGGCCCCATTAGCTAAAGTGGTGCTTCAGGTTAAGAACAGTTTCAGGTTAAGAACGTACCTCTGAAACGAATTAAGTACAGTACTTAATGCGAGGTACCACTGTATTAAGTTTACAAGCACTTTCAGAAAAGCTGGATACTGTGGTACCTCTAGATACGAACGGGATCCATTCCGGAGCCCTGTTCGCATCTAGAGGTAAACGTAACTAGCGACGGCACGTCTGCGCACACGTCGTTTTTTGCCGCTTCTGCGTATGCGCGTGACGTCATTTTGAGCGTCTGCGCATGCGCAGAAGCGGCAAAACCCGGAAGCAACACACTCCATTACTTCTGGGTTGCCGCAGAGTGCAACTCGAACGCGCTCAACACAAAGCGTATTCAACCCGAGGTATGACGGTATATCGCTGTACGTTCCCCAGTTCCTCTTAATATTTATTTTCTTCTGTGCACACAACTGTGTTTTTCTGCCCAGCTCCCAGAATGTCCACCCTCAGAAACAGGCGGTTGTGGGTGGGCGCCTTGATTTGCCAGCCACCTGGGTTGGCACAGGGCAGCCCAGCTTGCCACCTTCCCACCCGTATCTCCCTCCTGTTATCTCTGTGCCCGCCTCGGCCCTTGGCGGCACTCTATAAAAGCGAGCCTCTTCGCCGCAGGCTTCAACCTTCCTTCTCCCTCAACCACTGCAACGATGAAGACCTCGCCAACCTTCCTCCTCGTCCCGCTGCTCTTCGCCATGGCCTGGGCCCAATGCCCGGCGCCGGCCGATCTGAAGACTGCCAACGGCACCAAGATCTGCGCCCAGCTCTACACCAAGAACAGCCCCTACTACGACCAGTGCTGCGCTGGCAGCGTCCTGGTGGTGCCACCGGAAGAGGACCAGCCTTACATGCCATCTGCCTTCAACAACAAGGTGACCTCGCTGGTGGTGGGGCAGAGATGTGAGCTGACCGTCTGGTCCAGCAAGGGCAAAGGGGGCAAGACCCGCAAGTTCAAAGCCGGCGCCTTCCCGCGTCTCCAGGAAATCCGGAAGGGCATCTTCGGCGACTGGGCCAATGCCATCTCCGCCTACTATTGCAAGTGCAGTTGAGGAGACCACGCCAGAGCCGTGCGAGATAGGACCCCGTGGCCACGGGCAGCTCTTGCCAGCCTGACCCCGCAGCACCCCAAGCGATGTTCCCCCAGGTCTTGCACCGCAATGCCCCACTCTGTTGCCGCTAAGGATTCTGGGATAGCTAACTCCCAGAATCCCCTGCTCTTGCCATGGCAAACGCTCTTGCCAACTGGAAGATCTTCTTCCCAGAATCCTCCACGCTGCCCATGGCAAAATCTCTAGCCAACTGGGAGAAGTCTCTCCCAGAATCCTCCGCTCTCGTCACATCTCCAGGGCAAATTCTCTGGTCAACTGGAAGATCGCCCTCCCAGAATCCTCCGCATTGCCCATGGGAAAATCTCTAGCCAACTGGGAGAAGTCTTTCCCAGAATCCTCCGCTCTCGTCACATCTCCAGGGCAAATTCTCTGGTCAACTGGAAGATCTCCCTCCCAGAATCCTCTGCGTTGCCCATGGCAAAAGGTCTGCCCAACTGGGGGATTTCTGCACCCAAACGAAATGTGAACCTCTAGGGAAAAAATCCATCTTCTGATAGCAAGCAATTCACCTACAGGGAGCAGGAACGACGCCACGGAAAAGCAGAAACCGGCAATTGAATTTATTTTTCACAACCGCAGCAGAGAAGGAGGGTTCTCCCTGAGCGTTGACGATCTCCAAGCTGGACACCTTGCTCGAAATATATGTAGCTTCTGGTGCTTTTAAGATCTTTCCCGCATTCCCCACTTTGTTCTGGGTGTAGTGTTTTGGGTTTTTTTGGCTTTTTAAGACAGGCGTTCCATCTTCAAAGCCATTGTGTCTCTCTTTCTCTCTCTCTCCCCCCTCACAACTGCTTCCCCAGAGACACGCTTTGCAGCAAGCGCTCCTTCTGCCTCGTCTAGGCCACTATTCCTCCGCGTCGCCACGATAAACATAATTAAAAGCGAAAGAACACGGCTTTCGGAACACGTTCCATGTCTCTCTCTCTTTTTTGTAGCTCAAGGTCAGCAAATGATGGGTAGCTCCTACTCTTTTCTCGCCTCTTGTAAACATTTAATTGGAAAGAGCTTTCAGGGAGCCGGGAGCAGAATACAATAATCCGCGCCAAATTGTTTTCAATTTAGCTCCCTTCCTCCGAGGCAGCTCCAAACTGGGCACCTCCAAAGGAGGGTGGGGTGCGAGAGATGGAGTTGGATCCAGGGCTTGCCACTTTGCCAATTTCAATGCCAGAGAGATCAACGCTTGAAGTTTGGGCGGGGGGAGGGTGCCTCTGAGCACAAGCAGAGTGCCACAGAACTGTATAGCTGAAGGAGACCCCGAGGTCAACAAATCTAAGCACCGCGATGCAGGAATCGCAGGATTTCTGACCGATGAAATCCCCCCACCCAACTTAGATGGGATAGCTGAGACTCTGAATCTCAAGGTCACGGGTTCGAGTCCCACATCGGACAAAAGATTCCTGCATCGCAGGGGGGTTGGACTAGATGACCCTCAGGGTCCCTTCAAACTCTATGATCCTATGAAAATGTCACAGAATCAGGCCAAAAAGCCGCCTTAGCCTTGATCCAGGGGTGGGGAGCAGAGACCACATCCTCCACTGGTCTTATTTCATGCCCTGAGCTTTTTGTCCCCGCCTGGAACCAAAGGATCATAGAATTCTAGCGAGGTGTGGGGGACCCCCAAAGGTCATCGAGACCAACCCCCTGCAATGCAGGAATCGCAGATAAAGGATCACTGGCAGATGGCCACCCAAGCGGTGCTTAAAAAGGTCCAAGGAAGGAGAACACACTGCTGTCCACTGTTGAACGACCTTTCTCTTTAGAAAGGTTGACCGAATTTTTCGTCGGAATCTCCTTTCGTTGTTGCTTGAAACTGGTGGTTCTGGTCCTGCCCTCCGTAGCAGCAAAAAATAAATAAACGCAGGCTTCATCTTCCAAGGGAGAGTCCTTCAGGTATATTGAAAGATGGCTATGCAATCACCTCTTCCCTACTAAATGCATATAGCACTGCAGCCTCAATGCCCAGTTTCCCATCTGTGCCATGGCAGTAAATGTAGATTTTCAATTTCTTTAACATCAGCAGTTACATCTAGACCAAAGGAGCGTTTCAGCCCCGTTCTTGAGTTTGCTTAAAATCTAAAACATCTTATCTCATATTCCCTTGTAAGTTTTTAAGAACCTTTTTGTAAAGGCAATACTAGAGTTTTCACAGCCGAGTCCTCAACTCCTTATTTCTACTGCTTGGCTTTCTTTAAATAGGGCTATGTCTAAAACTTGCCACTGAGGTTTTCAAACCTTTTTTGTAAACTCGGGGGAGCATTCCAGCCCTGTTCTTGAGTTTGTTTAAAATCATTTAAGGTTTATGATTTCTCTGTTTCCTTCTGAGGAAACTGAATAGTCCAGTGAAACGAGGTTTGTAGCCGGCATCCCGCCAAGGCTTTGTTCAATTCTAGGTTTTTCTAATTTTTAAGGCTTTGTTCAATTCTAGGTTTTTCTAATTTTTTTCCTTAGACTTTTTGATTTTTGTTATTTGGTTTAATTCTAGAAGATAATACCTCTTGTTTCAGGGATATATGGAAAATTTCTATGTTTCTGGCTTCAAGGAGATGCACAGCGGCCCTCCAGACTCTGAATATATTGGAGCTGGCTGTGGTTCCGTCATATCTTCTCCAGGCTAAATATTCCCAACTCCCTTGACAGTGGAACAGTCTGCCTCGCGAGGTGGTGGGCTCTTCTTCCTTGGAGCCATTTAAGCGGAGGTTGGGTGGCCATCTGTCAGGGATGCTTCAACTGAGATTCCTGCATTGCAGCGGGTTGGACTAGATGTCCTTTGGGTGTCCCATTCCTACAATTCTGTGATTCTCTTCTCGGTTTCCAGGCCATCTCTGTTCTGCCCTCTCTGCTATGGAACCCCAGCCAGCTCCAATATATTTGGAGTCTGGAGTGCCGCTGTGCTTCTTCTTGAAGACGGAAACATAGAAAATTTCCTTATATTGAATCAGGATAGTGGTCCATCTAGATCAGTATTGGAGACAATGACTGGCAGCTGCTCTGCAGGTAGGGTGTCTCCCAGCCCTACCTGAAGATGCTGCCAGTCAAAGTTGGGACCTAAGCTATGGAGCACTGAACCCCATCTTCTCTGCCCAAACAACCACCCCTGCAAGGTATGCCAGTGTTACAATAATCTTTATTGTCATTGTACCATAGGTAAAGGTAAAGGTACCCCTGCCCGTACGGGCCAGTCTTGATAGACTCTAGGGTTGTGCGCCCATCTCACTCAAGAGGCCGGGGGCCAGTGCTGTCCAGAGACACTTCCGGGTCACGTGGCCAGCGTGACATCGCTGCATCTGGCGAGCCAGAGCCGCACACGGAAACGCCGTTTACCTTCCCGCTGGTAAGCGGTCCCTATTTATCTACTTGCACCCAGGAGTGCTTTCGAACTGCTAGGTTGGCAGGCGCTGGGATCAGACAACGGGAGCTCACCCCGCCGCGGGGATTCGAACCGCCGACCTTTCGATCGGCAAGCCCTAGGCTCTGAGGCTTTTACCCACAACGCCACCCGCGTCCCTATCATTGTCCCATACAGAACAACAAAACTGAAAATCTACATTTACTGCCATGGCACAAATGGGAAGCTGGGCATTGAGGTTGCAGCGCTAAATTGCATTTAGTAAGGAAGAAGCCTCGCTGACTTGCTTCCGAGTAAGCCTGCAAAGGACTGCGTTATGAGGAGTGCAAAGGGTAGGCTTCACCTGCTAAGAAGCCCCCAGTTTAGCTGGGGGGGGTGTCAGATCTACAGGGAGGGGTTGATCCGAGAAAGCGAGGAACCAGGGATTAGCCCCCAAACCTTTTCCCAGCAAGCCATATCCCTGACCTGGAATAAAATGGCGTCAGGAAGAACAACAGTGCCTCTGAACATGGGCAGAGTGTCTTCCTCTATATACTACAAAGATGCTGTTTGTAGTTGCACATCTGCTTTTAATCAAGATGCAAGAAAACGTCATTCGTGGGGGGTCTTCCTACAGGATCTGGGCGGCTCAGGGAACCCCCTGAACGTCCCCTTGAAGTCCCACACAATGCCTGACCACCCCACCGCTTCCCCAAACGCCATCAGTCCCGCAGCTGGGCAGAGACGCTGCTGTCCGTCACTCTCGTCCGGAGGAATCCAGCCGGTGTCTCGACCTCTTTGGCCTTGTGGAGGAAGTGGACATAGCGCAGTCCTGCTCCGTAGCGCTGGAATACGTGGGAGACCTTGAAAGAGATCGGGGGGGGGGGGGAACGGTCTCAGTTCGCAAGACTACAACCACGGGGGGGGCCGGGCTGGAGACCCCAAAGTTCCTCCAGCGTAACCCACACATATGTACCCATTTCTCGGACAGGCAAACTGAGTCCTATGGGGTTTTTTTATGACAGCAGGCAGTGCGGCTCAGCCAACCCAGTTAGACCCAGAACAGTCAGCATTTGGGGCTTTTTAGTTTAGAGAAAAAGCAAGGAAGTGGCGACACGGTGGAACTTTATAAAATTGCACGTGTCGTCGGGGAAGTGGGTGGGGAAAAGCTTTCCTCCTTCCCTCGTGGATGTCCACGAGAACTTGTGGACATCCAGGAGTTTGCAAAACAAGATTGAGGAACTCCCCTATGAAGAAGGGTTACAGTGTTTGGCATTTTAAAGTTTGGAATCATAGAATTACAGAGCTGGAGAGGACCCTGAGGTTATCGAGTCTAACCCCCTGCAATGCAGGAATACGCAGCTTTCCCGTGGGGGGATCGAACCTGCAACCTTGGCCTTATCAGCACAGCGCTCTAGCCAACTGAGGAGACATGATGCGTTATAAAATTATGAAGGGCACAAAGGAAGCAGATAGAGAAAAGATTTCGCCTCTCTCGTAAAATGAAGTCCTTCTTTAAACAGTGCATGGTTAAACTGTGGAACTCCCTGCCACATGGCCCCCAACTGGGATGGCTTTAAAGGAGGGTTAGAAAAATTCATGGGGGAGGAGAAGGTTATCGATGGCTATGCTCTGCCCTCCACAGTCAGAGGCAGCAATGCTCCTGAACACCAGTTGCTGGAAAATGTGGGAGTGGTGTGTGTCTTGTGTTCGAATCCTACTTGC